AAAGCGTTGTTAAGTATCCGTTAACAGTTAATGTGGTACGCCACGTGGCGGCTGACGTGGCACGCCACATAGAATTTTTTACCACGTCAGCATGCTACGTCAGATTTTAAAAAAAATCGAAAAAGATTAAAAAAGTTTAAATTTTTTAAAAAAAATAATAAAAAATAAAATAAAAAGCAAATATATATATATATATATAAATATATATATATATATGTAGTATATATATATATAAATATATTTATTTGTATGTATATGTATATATATTTGTATAGATATTTGTATATATATATGTATACTTTTTTATTTTGTATATATATAGATATATTTTTATATAGGAGTATATACATTTATATTTGTATATAGATATGAAAATATATTTATATATATGTATTTTTTCCTTTTTATTTGCTTTTTAATTTTTTTAATTTTTAAAAAAAAATTAAATTTTTTTTATTTTTTTTATTTTTTTTCCCGATTTTTTCGGGATTTTTTTTTTGAAATCTGATGTGGCATACTGACGTGATAAAAAATCCATGTGCGAGCCACGTCAGCCACCACGTGGCGTGCCACATCACTATTAACGGACACTTAACACAGTTTTCAGAATAAATTGTAGTTAAATTGGATAGTTCGTATATCAATTTGGCACATTTGATAATTTGGTGTAAGTTTTTATCAAATTAAAAATTCGTGTAGGAAAATGCAATATTTTACAAAGTTCGTATAGAAAAATGTCATTTTCTATATATATATATCTTTCTCCTTGTAATAATTAATCAACAATGAAATATTGTGTCCACTTCTTTAACCCCATACGTCTACAAATGGAAGTTAAAAGAGGACCCCCTTTTTTTCCTTACACTTGTAATTGTCAATTGCCTTAGGCAAGAAAAAGCGAAGGCAGTTGCCTTTACAGATAATAGTTTTCTGTAATATTAGTGCAATAACGGACCAGAGGCTACATGCTTGTGGTACATGGTCATTGTACTCGTCACACATGGATCCAATCTATCATCATACCATCTCGTGGAAGTCAAGCTAATTGATGTGGTCGGTCCAATGTTTATTCCAATGCCACGTGGAATTTGTTCGACGGAATATCATGCCCTATATCTCCATGCCACGGTCATCAAAAAGCTTTATTACTTTTTTTGAGTTTAATTTATACAAGTTACTAAACTGCTTTTGAGTTAATATGAAAACCCCATTATCGGTATATATATTATCGTGAAAACAAAATAAAGATATATTTTTTACCACAAAATACGGAAGACTTGAAAGGAAAGGAAACGACGGAGCAAATGAAAGGCAGTCGACAAGTTAGGTATAAGTCGCTTGATATCTATGACTATGCGACAGAACCACTTCGACGTGTGTACATACACATATACATATACAATATATAATATGCCTTTTGCTATTTCCCTTTTAAAATTTGTTTTCCTTTTTTTTTTTTTATCTATCAAACCTCAATCAATCAGAGAGAAAAAGACTTATTTTCCCTTACATATTACCCACTTCCCTTAAAGCTTTTTTTCCCCCTTCTCTTTTTAATTATAGCTTTTCATTTCTTAAAAGAAACTCTATCTATCTATCTATATATATACATATACACACACAATCGACACGATCATCACGAATATATATATCATTGAGACTAAGTACAAAAAAAAATATATATATATATATATATAGTTCTGTGTTAGATGGTAAGAGAAATCAAATAAAATGTGACGGGATTGCTAATACAAATATAAGCGAATTCGCATTTGAAGAATATATTTTGCATGAGAGGAGATATTTTGGGAACCATGGAGGAATGGATAATTGGTCCAACACCCTTCTATTCACATCCCCACCATTATCTCCATTTTTTTTTCAGCTTTCTCTTTCTCAAGGAACATAAAAGCGAAATTACAACTTTGTTGATCACTCATTGAATCTATATATATATATATATATATATATATATATACACATAGGATGAATGTTGAAACATTTATAGGGCCTCATGCACTCCGAAACGTGATTATATTATTAATGAAATTAAATATGATATTCTTAATATTGTTTTCATTCGGGCTCTCGTACATGTGTCTAAGACCCGTGTAGTGCGGGCAGTAATGTAATCATTTAAACCTTAATATGGAAAGGTAAGCTCTAAAATCTCGTATTAAGACGATCCTTTTTGTAGCCTTTGTTGGGGGACCATTCCATCATCCTCGATTATTACGCATTTTAGTTTCGTTTAACTGCTTTGGTTATTATTACACGTATCAATGACTTTAATCTTATAATAATACTTCGAAAACAATATATTCCTTTTTTTTAGATTTAAGATACAATATATATATATATATATATATATATATATTCTCATCTGCTAAACAAATTTAAACGGAATTAATTATATGACTTTTTTTAAACAATAGATTTGCAAATTCTACTTTTTAAAAAAAAGAACTTTTAAATATTCGACGCCTCGCTCCTACGCACCCTTTGTAGACGCCCCCAACCAACACCCCAAGTATCAATAAAATAAAACTATATTATAAAAATCTAGCATTTAACAAAAATAAAATAAAATTCGGAGGAGACGTCAGAGCGCTTTTTTAAATGCAACGAACGCCAAACTTCATATCCTCAGCCCTCTCCCTCCCTTCGACAATGGAAGACAGTGAAGAGGAAGCCCCGTGGAAGATCTTCTTCTCTTGTACCATCCCTCTCTACTGTCTGATTCTTCTCTACTTCCCTCAAGATTTTCTCCGATTCCTTCTCTCTCCCGTTCTTCTCATCACCGGAGCCCTCCTCGTCTCCCTCCTCCGTCTCGGGTCGACCCGAGATTCCGATTCCCGACCCGGGAAAAGCTCCGGTAACAGAGGAAATCCAGGTGTCGAGAGGACGGAAGAATCCGGGGTTTCGACTCGAGAACCCGAATGGAGTTCATGCAAAGCCGAATCCGACATGGGTTTTGATCAGAACCCGGATTTCGTCGATAATTTCGTCGAATGGAACGTGAGAGCTCCGTTGGAGGTGATACACGAAGCTTACAGCGAAGAAGACGAAGACGAAGAAGATGATCGATCCGTTGTGGGTGAAAAGGACCCGACCCGGTTAGGGAGAATGGAGAGATTCCCGTCTCTGTCGCTGTGTTACCCGGAATCGGATTCCGATTCGTCGTCGGAATCGGATTTTCCGGCGATGTGCGGTTGGGTTACGCCGGAAAACGTAAGGTACAGATGGGAGGAAGACGAGGGAGAAGGACTAATCGAGATAAGGCTTGATGAACAACATAACAAGGGAAAGCAAGTAGAGTACGATTTCCATGCAGAAGAAGAGAGTTTGATCGAGATCGATCTTTCGCCATGAGAGATTCAAAATTAAATTCCAAGCGGAAATTATATAAAAAAAAATATAATACTAAGATTTTTGGCTCACCCTGTTACCGTCCGTACGATTTCGATTTTATATGAGCATAATATTAGTATACAACATATATGGAAGATGCACAAACTGTAATGTGACAAAGCAAGGCTAGAACTAGTGTCTGTCAAATTTTAATTTGATTGTGAATTTTTACTTTTTGTTTGAGAATTAACATTATAAATCAAAGTATCTTAATCATTTTGTATATATACTTCGATTTATGCCCGTAAAATGTTGGATAGTTCTCATCGTATAATCTAACATAAATACTGAAAACAGAATATATATATATATATATATATAAGATAAAATAAATACCCGATGTAATAACGAGTATTTGTATTAAATATTTTTCATTCCACATCAATCTTTTTTTAATCTTGTTATTGATGCTACTAAACCAAATATATGCCATTCCTGTAACATATTATCAACATTATATATATTTTGTGAAGAATACTTGTGTCTTTTCACTTGTATTTATTTGTGTTCTATTTTCAGTGTCTATAATTCAATTTTGGTAGTATTTTAAAAAACTTTATTATATATCAAACATAAAGAAGATAGAAATTAAGTTAGTAATTAATGTTCTGTATTAATTAGTTTGACTTTTTATTCAATTTCGTTGTCTTGAAAAAAAAATAAATAATGAGACGCCCCACTTTTATAATGTAGTACTTATAATTCAAGCTACATTTTTTATTACAAAAATCAAACTACATTTTTTCGAAGATTGAAAATTCTATATCTCTAAGTAGATTTGTACTAATTTTTAAGGAAATTAATTAGTGGAGTTGGCCACATTAATTTGCATCAATTATGAATGGGGACATGCAACATGACAACATCACATATACATTTGCACGCATTTGCCCAAGCATGCAGTTGAACTTTGCCTAGAAGGGCTCCTCCTAATTACCAATAACTGTCCAATTATTAGTTTTTTTTTTCTAACTACAAAGTACAAAGTATGGACAAATATCATTCGATTATTATAAAAAGAAAACTAGTTGGAGCAAAAATCTGATAAATTTTTGGATTATAAAAAAAAATCAATAGTTATTAATCTTTTTTCTTTATAAAAAGATTAATATGAGGTTCAAGTTTTATTAACTTTGATGAATATTTACTATTCTATTCTCCTTAGAAGTTAAAATCGACCAACGAAATTTTTTTGCTCAATTTTTATATTGATAAAGTCAAAGACTAATGTTAGATTATATTATTGATTACGTCTAATATAGGATAGGATTGAGTTTCACATTATATATACACACACACTAGAGTATTGTTATATTCTTTTAAAGATTCTATTAAAATGCATTAATTTATTTCTTATAATTTCACTATCCTTAATTTAACACTAACTATAAATCCTAAACTACAAATCATAAAATCCAAACCCTAGACCATAACATCTAACCATTGAACTCTAAACTATGAAACAATCATAATACCTATGCTTGATTACAAATTCTAAATCATATGGCTTATGTGTTATAATTTATTTAAGGTTTATGATTTAAAGTTTAAGATTTGGGAGTTTAGGATTTAAGATTTAATATTTGGTGTTTATAATTATGTTTAAATTAAGAATAGCGAAAGGAGAAGAAGAAATAAAAAGAAAAATATTTTTTTTTGAATAATTAAGTATCATAAATCAAGATATGGACTAATTTTAGAATCGAAAGTTAGTCATTTGAAATATATATTTCCTCTCTAAATTTGATCTTCGAATTTAGGACAGAACACATATTTTGTATTCCATTTGATCGGTTGAACTATCCAAAACTTGAGTAAATAGAAAAAAATTGCCAAGAACTAAATAAAATGATTAGGAGATATTTTAGAGGAAGTTTTCGAAAGATGTAACAATAATGTATATAGTAAGATGTATAAAATTGAACAAATATGTGGAGAATAAAAGCAAATGGAAAAGCGGAGAGGAAGCACATGGGGGATGGGGGGGAACATGACGTGGCCGCCAAGTCATAACAGTCGTCACGGACAGCTGACCTGTTAACGCCGTTACAGAAAACGACACGCAGTTCGTGTCCTCCTCTCCAACAATCTCTATGGCCTCGCCCTCGCTTCTCCATTTATTATTATTAACTATTAATTGAATTAAGTGTTGATTAATTAATATTATATTCCTGATTAGTTTGACCATACATTCCCCGCCTGCCGCGTGTTCAACTAAACTCGACGAAACGAACTTTTCCACCGTCACCTCTCTCTCTAGATCTCTCTCTCTCTAGATCCCTCTCTTTGAGCCGTTTCTCTTCCGTTTTCGTTCTCCAGGATTCTCGGCGATACCAACAACTCTCCCGAAGCAGATCTTGGAGAGCTTCGTTCAGACACGCGAAAATGAGGATTTTTGGCTTCTACGAGAGATTCTCCAGAGCTTTCCATGATCATCCTTCTCTCTCCAGGATTCTCGTCATCTCCACGATCAGGCAAGTTTCGGTTTCTTCCCCCATTCGTCTCTCTTTTCCCTTTTGATTCTCGTGCTCTATTGTCTTTCGTCGATTTCGTGTTTGATATGCGCTCATTGATCGATTTCACTTTTGATTTGTTGTTTTTTTTCTTTTCTATTTTTGGTTCGTTCAAGCTTTTCACCAGTTTCCTGTTCGATTCGAGATCAGTGTTTATCCGAGTCTATTTGTGCGTATAAACATTGCTCTGTGCTCTCTGTTTTGCGTGATTTTCCTTAACTTGTTGGAGCTTCCCTCTGAAGACGCTTCGGGGCACATATTCTTATTCTTCGAAAAGGAAATTTCGTTTTCGATCTGTTGTGTATTATTGACGCAACATCTGTTTGGTGTTTCTATTTTCTGGAGCATTTCTGTTTTATCTGTGTCATGTACTTTGTTTTCGAAGAAACTTGTCGATCATTTTTTGTTTTCACGTTCGTCACCATTTACAAAGTTCTTTTAAAACTACATGTTTCGTTTATGATTGGGATTGTTGTAATTGTGTCTTGTCCTGATCTGACTCATATTGATGCTGGTAAGAAAATTAATCATGTCTAGCTGATGAAGTCCAGGAGTTAATGTCCGTTGGGAAGCGATTCGACCTCATGAAACCACGACCGATCTCTTCTGATCTTTTGTTTCTAATCCGTTATCTATTATTATTTCCTTATATTTGACAGTGCAAGGATGGAATTTTCTGTCAAACAAATAAATGGCTGTCTTTAGTGTTTTCATTCGGGATGAGAATGGATGGTTGTCATGTCATTTCTAGTTTGGACAGTATATGTTACCGAGAACAATTTGCTTATTGTTATAGTGGTGGAGGACTTATTGCCTATTCTGAGGCTAATGCCTCCCATGGCACGAAAGACATTGCTCCAGTCGAAACAGGAACCAGGAAGAAAAAAGTACTGCTGCTTGGAACCGGGTGGGCTGGAACCAGTTTCTTGAAGAATCTGAACAATCCCTCGTATGAAGTTCAGGTTATATCTCCTCGGAACTATTTTGCCTTCACTCCCTTGCTACCTAGTGTCACTTGTGGAACTGTTGAAGCTCGCAGCGTTGTTGAACCAATCCGCAACATTGGAAGGAAGGTAATTTTGTTCTTAAGTCGTCCAAATAGCAATGAGTTCTTCTGTTTTTCGATTCTGCTTGTTGCAGTGCTCTGTGATATATATATATTTTTTTTAAACATAAACATTGATTCAATAAGAAATTTAGCCAAAACAAAAATCAAATTCATCAGATGGAATTTAAAGAAGTATTCTGTGAATTCTGGACTTCTAGTGCAGCATAAGTTTCTTTTTCAGCTATATTCCCTGGGGAATTATGATTTTGTGATTATTGTTTTGTACCATTTGCATTCTTCCCTCAATTACTTGCAACATTTTTTTTATTGATGAGGTACTAATATGTCCTCTGTTTCCCATCATTCCAAGCAGAAAAACATTGATATGTCCTACTTGGAGGCAGAATGTTTCAAAATCGATCCAAAGAGCAAGAAAGTTTACTGTCGATCTAAACAAGGCCTTAATTCAAACGGGAAGAAGGAATTTTCAGTTGACTTTGACTACCTTGTAATTGCAACTGGAGCTCAGTCGAACACATTTAACATTCCTGGGGTGGAAGAGAACTGTCATTTCCTGAAAGTAAGTTTCTCTTTTCTCTTAGTTCATTTTCTTGCTCCACCTGATATATAACGTTGTAAGCAACACTAGCTCATATGGGCAAGGACAAAAATAGCTCGACACAGGAAAAAGGGTAGATTAACTGCTGATGATATTGAGCTGTAGTTCTCCAATGGAGATTTGTTCTTTCTTTGATGAGCCGCTGAGAAATGGACTGGTATTCGCAGGAAGTTGAAGATGCCCAGGGAATCCGTACAAATGTCATTGATTCCTTTGAGAAGGCAAGTTTACCAGAACTGAGTGAAGAAGAGAGAAAGAGAATTCTACATTTTGTGGTTGTTGGTGGTGGACCAACAGGTGTTGAGTTTGCTGCGGAGCTACATGATTTTGTCAACGAGGATCTTGTCAAACTCTATCCCAGAGCCAAGGACTTGGTGCGAATCACACTTCTGGAGGCTGCGGACCACATCCTGACCATGTGAGATTGCTCAACGTCTAGACTGTGGGTTAATGCTTAAGATTCATTTTGCATGAAAGCTTGTATCATGACTTCTGGGACGCTTTTTCTTTCACAGGTTTGACAAAAGAATCACAGAGTTTGCTGAAGAAAAATTCAAAAGGGACGGTATTGATGTGAAACTGGGTTCAATGGTGACCAAAGTGTGCGAGAAGGAAATTTCAGCAAAAACTAAAGGAGGAGAGGTTTCCTCTATTCCTTACGGAATGATCGTCTGGTCAACTGGTATTGGAACCCGTCCTGTGATAAAAGATTTTATGAAACAAATTGGCCAGGTGAGTGACGTTTGCCAATACGAGCTTATGCAATATATAACCAATAGTGTTTCCAAAAAAACTGTGTTTCTTCATCTCGATCTAAGCAATTGTCCCTATAATTGCAGGGCAACAGACGTGCTTTAGCAACTGATGAATGGCTTCGGGTGGAAGGATGCGATGATATTTACGCTCTCGGAGATTGTGCCACAATTAACCAGCGCAAAGTCATGGTAACTAAACGTATTCATGTCTGTGTTGGAAACTCTATCAGCACTTGGTGATAAAAGTGTAGGGATTAAAAATCAATAGAGTTGATCTTTACTGTGAAAAGCAGAGGAAAAAACAGGAGATAAAATATCGCGGAGATCATTTCTTGATGTATCAGCGAGCGATTTCTCTGTTTTTTATGCTGTGGACGGTGTTGTTTCCAGGAAGATATTTCTGCGATTTTCAAGAAAGCAGACAAGGACAATTCGGGAACGCTGACTCTGGAAGAATTTCAAGAAGTGATAGACGATGTTTGTGTTAGGTATCCGCAAGTGGAACTGTATCTAAAGAGCAAACGGATGAGGGACATATCAGATCTTCTAAAGCAAGCACAGGTCGATGGTTCAAAGAAGTCCATCGAACTGAATATAGAAGAGTTCAAATCAGCCCTTTCGCAGGTAGACAAGGAAGTGAAGTTCCTTCCAGCGACAGCACAGGTGCGTAAAACATTTCATCTCAAAGCGGAAATAAAACAGTTTAAAAAAATGCTCACGTGGTGGGGTTTTTTTTATATACATAGGTTGCAGCGCAGGAAGGAGAATACCTAGCGAAATGCTTCAACCAGATGGAGGAATGTGAGAAGAATCCAGAAGGGCCCATCAGGATCAGGGGAGAAGGTCGTCATCGTTTCCGCCCCTTCAGGTACCCTCTGCTTTAACATATGCACGAGTCATATAGATAGATTGGAATGGAACAGGGTTCTCAGATGGAGACTGAAATAAATGAGTAAACAAAATGGGGGAATGCAGGTATAGACATCTAGGGCAATTTGCACCGCTGGGAGGGGAGCAAACAGCGGCACAGCTTCCAGGGGACTGGGTTTCGATAGGACACAGCAGCCAGTGGCTATGGTACTCTGTCTACGCCAGGCAAGTGAACACCCCACTTTTCATACGCTAAAATGGATGTAAATGTAACGTTGGATTCTAACCAGAGACCATTTATTGATTCGCATATGCAGTAAGCAGGTGAGCTGGCGCACGAGAGTGCTGGTGGTGTCGGATTGGATGAGGCGGTTCATCTTCGGGAGGGATTCCAGCCGCATTTAAGTCACCAAGTTGATGCCTTATACCAGGTTTCACTTCCACTACACCCTTTCAGTTTTGTTCTTTTCCCGCGGCTTACCATATTCTTCTTCTTCTTCTTTTTTTTGCCACAGTTTAGTCTGGAGACAGTTTTTGTTTCCTCCATTCAAATAAAAAATGCATGAATTTTCTACGTGCCTTTTGCATCCCTCGACTTTTTTTTTTTTTTTTTTTTGTAACCGAATACGATCGGAATTTAATCTTTTCTCTTGCTAACTTGTGTGATTTAATTTTATCTTTTACTTTATATTGTATGATTTGGATGGCCAAATGGCCCGCTTACGTGGTCAATGCCACCTTGTAAACTCCGCGTTGCTATGACGCAGCCCCCAAAAAAAATCTGTAGGGTTCATTTTTCTCAATAGTGAGAGAACACTATTATTACTACGTAAAGGGAATAAAGGGGAAAAGAAAAACCTAGGAAAAATCATCCCATTATCAATGAAGGCCAAAAAATAATGGAGTGTCTACTCATTAATTATTTCACAAATAACGAATGTGGTCGAGCCTTGTGAGCATCCCCATCCAGGGTTATGCTAACCAAGACCATGATATCTATGGCAAAAGAGGGTTTGTTGAGAGGAAGGGGTCATCCTTGAAGTTGGCGTACAGCTGAAGATCGAGAGCTCTCTCCGCAATTCCTCTGTCCTCGTGAATCTTTTCCACCAGCCTCTCCAACGACGGGAAATTAGCCTGCTCTCATTCCCCCACACCCAACCCGATGTGAGCAAGTTTCTCGACACGTCTTTCGTTTTTGGGTAACATGAAAACCAAAAGTTCGGAAAAAACGTAGCCAACAGTTACCTCGGGGCGTATGTAGCCAACAATCACGAGACGCAGCTCTTCACCATAGAAATCCTCCCCAAACTCATGAAGCAACCACGGTTCCTATTACCAGTGCTGTAGTTAACTCATGGATGATAAAAAGAAAAGTTGTGCAGAGGGTTTTGAGGTTATACACACACACATATTCAAAGTGATAAATTTACTCACAATGGTTTTCTCGGTGTTGTTGAAATATGGGTTCCAACCAATGCTCATCACCATCTTGAAAACACCTCTTGTCGACAAGCCAGCCCAACCAAAGTACACCCCCGCAGGGTGTTCAACTAACTCACTTGCGTACTCCTTTGTTGACAGGTTAGCTACATATAACAGATCACATAACACAAACCTTAACTATAAGTCGTGAGAAAAAAAAACACCGGGTAGTTCTAGTCAGAGAATCCATCGTCCATACCTGTGGGGATTCCAAGCACCTTGGACCCACGGCCAAATCCCTTGACAACTGGCCCCCCAATACACCATGGTTCAATCGGTAAAGTATTCTCAATCCCTGCAAACACAGCTTACGGGTTAAATTTTTTCTACATCAATCAGTAGAGGAGGACATATGGATATTAACAGCGTTTGCAAGTGCTTACAATCTTGAAATGGAGGCAACCCCCATTTTTCAGGCCGTAGATCGATCAGAGAATTCATTATTTCGTTTGCCGATGTAAAAAGATGAGTTTGTTTAGGTAGTGAAGGAACAGCAACCACTTTCATCCCAGCAGCTTTACCAGCCGTAACACCCGGGCTGCCATTGCCAATTACAATAATCAGAGACCAAGATTTATAGCTGCACACCCGTATGCCAATAAGTCGAAAATAAAGAGAAGCGCCACAAAAATAGGGAGTAGAAACTAGGACTCACGTAGAATCTTCTATTACCAAACAGCTAGCTACCTCTTTGTTCAGTCTCCTGGCTGCCTCAAGGTAACTAAAAAATAAAGGAAATAACTGTTTCTTTTTGTCGCCATTAAGGAGATCGAAAATTGAAACTAGGATATAGGTCATGAGAGATGGATCTTACATTTCGGGATAAGGCTTTCCTTGGGTCACTTCATCGCCACCAACAATAACAGAGAAGCTTTCCTTCCAACCTACATAAGGGAGAAATCATCGGATAAAATCACTTGAACACCACAAACTACTAAGACAAGACTAAGAACAAATAAACGTCTCCAGAAGCCAACCTTTGTGATAAGAAATTTTGGATTCAATATTTGCCCTGGAAGAATTGGACGCCAATGCCATAGGCACTCCATTACCCTTCAGATGCTGAATTAACCGGTTGGCACCCGGAAGAGGTTTGATTTTGCTCATCCTAAAAACATCGAGTTACCAAGACACTTTCCATCAGTACTCTCTTATTACTGTGTTGCAAGATTTCGTTTTTGAAACCCATATGTACTTGCAGAAGAACCATCCATATAAGGGTATAAAAAGGAGCAGATTTGAAGGAAATTACTGAGCAGAGAACAACTGGTAGAACTCCGTGTTGAACTCATCGACTCCACAAGGAAGCCCGTAATCTTCAACAATAGCAGTTGCCGCCTCAATCGGAGTCTTTCCCACTATTTTAAGAGTTTCCCTTCCATCCCATTGCTTGCCATGCTTGCTCAGATATCCCCTTAAAATCTCACCAACTAGACCATCTGCAAGACATCCAAAAGACACAACTCCAGTATCAAATTCTAGAACCAAACTAACAACAACATATGCAGAAATAATAGCGAAGGGGATCGAAAAGCTGTTAAAAAAATTGAGGGTACAGATTCTCACCTGTGTTGATAAGGGTTCCATCCAGATCGAGGATGACACATGAAGCCAACTTCTCTAAGGAATTGCTCATCGACATTCCGACCGAGTACGAATCTGCTTACACTCCTGTAGCCTCTGAATGAATCTAATCTACATCAAACCATCAAAGGGAATATACTAATATAATCCCCGAGCTGATTATAGAAAAGAAATATTCCAGGAAAATAAAGCGTTTTCTTTTCTGGTTTTTCAAATTAAATAAAAGACGAATGGGTTTCGCTGTGTTTTTCGAGGAATCCTAGGTTACGATCAGGTTTTGTCGCTTAATGTCGTTGTGGGCTCTCCTCAATATTCCAACAACTCAACAAAGAATTTCGAAGAAACATGGCGAATACGATAACGTTACAGCTCCGTGAAGAAACCAACAAGTGCCGCCGGCGTAATTTATTTCGATCAAAAACCCAATTGAGATCCAAATAAGAGAAAAACTGACCGGATTACGAGCTGCAGAGAATCGGGAAAAAAGCTCCCGTGAAAAAATAAACGTAGCAGCGCCACCGGTCTCTCCCTCTCTCTGCTTCTTCTGTGACTGGGAGATTGAAGTAATCCACGTCTGTGAAACCTCTCGAAAAAATCTCGAGAGGAACGGGGATGAATCGATGGAGAAGAAGGAGGGAGGGTGTGAGGGGTTTATATGTTTGGGGCCTCTACTCCGACGCGTCGCTTGTTCACAATTTCACTCGGAATTCTGAATGCACAAAGATGAAGACAACGATAGTTGATATGTTCTCCTCCTCCCTTTTAGATTAATACTAAAATTGATATTATCAAATCTTATAATTATCACTTAAAAAAATTAGATTGATATAATTGTCATGTATTATTTAATCAACTTAATATAATAATATTATTATTTTAGACCATATATATTCTAATATTTATATAGGAAAAATAATTTTAAAAAATCACCCAATTTAAAAAACGTATATATAAATATACAAAGTTTAAGATTTCTACAAATAAAAATAATAATAAATTGATTAAATAAACAAATAATCAAATAAAAAAGTAAATACTAAAACTAATAGATAAATCCATACAGATATATACATAAAATAATATTAAATTTTATTCAAAATATTTATCGTTTTATATGTGTTTCCTATTTATGGTGATGATATGAATAAATCACTAGAACCTGTAAAATAAATACTCGTGAAATACTGATAAATCAGAAGTAACATCATCGGAGTTGGCCACCATACGTTATTACGTTGTGGTTTATTTTTTTTATTCATTAAATATAGGCATTTAAATGTATTTTGTTATTTAATCAATTATAAAATTTTGTCATTTAATTTACATAACAATACACACTTCACATTACCCTTTATACTTTATGTAACGTACAAATTATATAATCCAAAATATTTGATTCATTAATTTTTTTTAAAAAAAAATAGATTAATAGATTCGTACGCATAAAATTGAAATAAAAGACATTTTGATTCCAATGCTCATATTCGTGGCTGTGTTGCAAAAATCAAGAACACTACCACCATTTGCAAAACAAGACGAGAAAAATGAAGACTTGTTAAATTTCACACTTTTTTTCATCATCTATACATTCATTGATCGTAGGATTGCATGACACCCATGAGTTACCAGACAACATTGTTCGAGTTCCTTGATCATCTCATCCAAAACTATGCCGGGTCTTGCTGCTGTGCAAGATATCTTTCCCTACGCTCCTTCATCAGACAACCTGAGCTGTCCTGTCGACTGGATTTTTCGATCTAAAACCTCGTACCTGCAAATCCGATTTAGGGACGAAAGATTCGATCGCCCGAGGTTTCGAAGCGATGACAGATCTGGCGAAGGAAGACGTGAATCCGAATAATGACAGGAGAAGCAGAAAAATGGTGAACCTCGGCATTTTGTTCACCAGAAACCGAGATTTTTTTTTTTTTTTTAATTTGCAGAAGCAGAATTGGGTTGTATTGGTGGGTTTTGATGGGAAGAGGAAGAGGGGGAAGGTTGGGATTTTAGTTGCCTACGCTCCTTCTGCGTTACACATCAAATCAAACACTCTAAATCATATGGTCCCAAAGGGATTATATATATATATATATATATATATATATACACGCACATACAGGAGAATGTAAGCGCACCCATTCATCAACAACAAGCCCTTCACCAATTATCTTTGGACCAGCATCTTCCGGGGGTTTCTTGCCTTTGGCTGCTGCCTCATCTGCTTCAGCCAGTTGTCGCTTCAACTTCTCCAGAGCCTTCAGTTCACCACACAACAGGACCCTTCAATTCTCGCTATCTATCTATCTATCTATATATAAGTAAAGAAACAGAAGACCAAGATCCTCCTGATGACTTTTCTATGGTTCAAGTTCCAGAATAAGTTCAAGACACCAGATGGCAACACAAACAGGTCATCCTGAACTAAAGAATTACGAGGATCCTCTAGTAAACGCGATACTCACAGTGTTGGGACGCTCAGGATCCAAGAACACCACACACAATATTTGCTCTATGGACACGTTATCCTTTTGCTCATTAAACTGCAAAAGAAAAGTATCGTATATTTTTCGTAAATGGAAATAACAATCAGCTATACTTGCAAAATGTGAAACCGTAATACAACACGAGACACCATGGGAAGACAGTTTGAGAAGAGTCATTATAGACTTAGTGCTAGATCACAGAATTTGAACAGTGTAACAATCCTAACCCCATAAAAAATGGATCATCATACCAGCTCAGGCACATAGTCCATGGGGCCTTTCACCTTCAGGCTCATGATTTTGAACTTAACCCTTGTTCTCTGTTCCGACGGCTTCTCATCGTTCTCCGGAGGCTCAACAAATTTGAACACTATAAAGTTCAATGAAAAAAGTAACAGAAACACACACAAAATCTTCAGGGACAATGCTTTAACAACAGCCTGATCATGAAGGATACTTCATGAAGAAGTGAAAAAAGAAAATAAAAGCAGATACCAGTAGCAATAATGGTCTCCCCAGGAGCAAGAATAGCACCAGGAGGACGCATGAAGCAACTCTTTGGTGCAGTTGTTTGAAACTGTTGGAGCGAAAAAGAACACACATGATAGAATATTACACAAGCTTCTTCACTTATTTTGATCCAATGAAAGAAATTAACGTAAATGTCGCAGTTGATACCTTAAAGGCTACATGTGATTTGCTGGTATTTGTAATCTTAATGGCGCTCCTTGCTTGCTTCCCAGGCTCATCTTCAGACAAGTATAAAAGTAATTCAGAGTAGAGTACTCTTGAAAATTTGTGGTACATCAATGAAAGACACCTTCTTTGTCACTGGGATATGTTCAATTACACGTAATGATCAATCTCCCAGGTAAAAACAGAAGCAGATCCAACGAAATGTCATTCACCGAAAGATCGGACAAAGAAGGAAAAGACTACTCGTAATTTCGCGAATCAAGAACAATACCATCATCGGTATATGAATCAGCTGAGAAACAAATCCTCAGTCGACAACCCATTACATTTTTTAACATTCTTTCTCCGTATTCTCTGAAAGAATTCACCGTAATCTTTCCCCTGGGCGAGTTGCTTCCAATAATCAAATCAAACGGATTGCAGTAACCTTCCAAACATGTCCATTTCTACTTGTTAAATCAGTGTTTCCAGCAATATTGAGTCAAAATGTCGCCTTATGTTTTCAAACAGGAACCACATCAAATCACAAACGCAGAACTTGCAATCCCGACGAAATCGATTAAGAAAATATCCAACAAAATGATTCCTCCCTTGATTTTAATTAGTCCAAAAAGGTCAAATTTAACTTCCGCGATAACTCAATCTTTTTTTCCTGAAAGCGTTAAGTCAACCCTTGATCGAAATAACCGATTTTCAGCAACGATCTCTAAGCACATCAATGAATTCCAGTTCAGGAAACAAACCCAGGTCACGAAAAGCGAAGTCAGAGAGCAAAAACGATCAGAACAGGTGAGAAATTTCGAGAAACTCACAAGGGAAATAAAGCTTCTTCGGCGGATCAAGCTTCAACCGGCGCTTCGCAGGCAGAAATGACTTGGCAACTGACGACACCGATGGAGTGGCATGCTGATTCGGACCCGATCCGTCGCCGTGAGGGCCGTAGTAGTCGAGATGGTGGTGATGGTTGTGAAGATGGAGATGAGAAGACGCAGAAGACGAAGCTCCCGACGGAAACGGAACGGTGGCGGGGGCGGAGCTGCTGTTGCCGACGGGGTTTCGGAACGGCATCTTGAAGAAACCCCAACCTCGGCCGTCGGACACGGGCTTCTCTTCCGTCATGGCCATGTCACTCCGGGCGTGCGATCGCAAAACAGCTCCGGCGACAGAGAGAGAGAGAGATCGGACGTAGAGAGGGAAACAGAAGTGAAATTGATTGGCTGTGTTCGCGTCCGATTTAGTCGTTTTTTTAAATGTTATGTATATATAATATACGTGTGTATTCAATCCTGAGGTATATAATATATCACAGTTGCTCGATTTACATGAGTAATACATAGAATTCTAATTTATTAAAAAAAATCATCAATTTAATCTAATAAATAATTTTTAACTCGCATTAGTCACGAAAAATCAAAATTGGAATCAATCATCAATATATGAACAATAAATGCATAATTTAAATTGTATTAGAATAAAGAAATTAGGAAAAATATCTCTTTTGTTGGTGTTTTTTGTCAAAAAGGGAAATCAGGATCATCCCACTGAAGAACAGCAGAATCAAAGTCTTGTTCCCTCTTTAGCTTGTCCTTGAGGAACCAATCGCATATCTTCCCCGCGTTTAGCTCCTCCATTCTGCATCCCTCTTGCTCCCCTATCACTCTAAGTAGATTCAACGACGATATCTACACACTCCCAAAAAAAAAAGATTCAATTTTTTTTTTGTTATACCTCATGATAACCAACCAGTCACTTATATCGATGAGAGAGTTGAACTTACAGTTAGGCGACAGAGGAACTTCTCGTGGGCACCGAGTCCGGAGATCTCGACGAGACCAGCCTCTTCTATGCTCAAGAAGCTTCTTCTTTTGGGTTCTTCTTCTTCTCCGGTGGATCCTCTGATCTTGCAAACCCTTCTTCTCCTTCTTCTACTGCTGCTGCTCAATGTTATCGTATTTCCATTTCTGGTTAACGTGTTGTGTATTTGAGGAGTTGAGATGAAGGATGGGTGGAAGGAGAGAGTTGTGATGTTCATAGTGACCAAAGAATGAAACTTTTGAGTTCCTTTTCGGATCGTTTGAAAAGACGATCACTTTTTTTTTCCGGGTTATCTTGTTTCAGTGGTGCAGAATGAAATGGGCTTTGGGGGTTGTGCCAACAGGCCTTGTTTTGATCCATTTCCCTCCAAAAACCCTAAACCCAAATACGAAGTCTTACCTAAATTAGCTTATGCTCAAATGTGTGTTGAAAGATCTGACCTTTTAATCTTATCTCCTAATAAATTAAGGATTTTTTTTTTCTGTATTTTCATCATTTCCCAGAAAGGTTGCATAGGTCAAGTCAACAATATGAACCCATTCAATCTTCTTAAGAATGAATCCATAAACATGGCGGATCAAACCAAACTTTGAAGATGAAACATCTAAAGAGTCGTTTTGTACACAAAACCAGTCTTATTTACAACTACTCTTTTTTTATTTTTTTTCTTCCCTTCTTTTCACAAGTTCTTCACAGTATACACAGGAGAAAAAAATATTCACAAGAAAATCCCAGAATTCAAACAATAAATAACAAGCAATTATGGTGTTCTTCCCAGATCTAACTTGTTCCCCAACAGCTTAGATACATAACTGTACGGAGAGACTCCTCCGCTTGCTTCAGCCTCCCGCTCGCCGCCGCACCGAAGCCGCTCGATTCCAGACCGCCGGAGATCATCCGCACTGATGAAGAAGCCACGGAGCACGACGGAGACGATGACGTCGAAGATCTCAAAGTCGTATCGCTACCGCCGCCGCCGCACTTGATCGTCTGCTCCTTCGTTAACCTCCCGATCAACTGATTGATGAGCCTGCTCATCTGCCTTCAAATCAGATTCCGATCACGAAGATCGATTTATCACAATCAACGATCCGATTCGCGTAGACTTTTCGCCCTTTTTGGATTCCGATGAGATTTTTTCCCCTTCTCTCAAAGAAGCGATTTTTTGGCCTTATAAGGACAGAGTGAGTGAGCCATAGGATTTGGGAGAAACGACCGGCTTTAGACGGTAAACCCAGGGCCCGGTGGGCCCCTTATCACATATGACCGACACGTGGCGGTCTCTCGAGGAAGGTTCGAGACGATATCCGACGTTCCTTTCCGTGCAAGATTCTTATCCTTTATTTTAGATTTTTTTACCATATACATATTTCTTTTTCCTTTTTTGTTTCCTTATCTTCTTTTTTTCGGTCAATGCACAATCTCTCCACCGTCCGATTTCATCGCGGTGCATGATCCTTCTCCCACGCCTCACCGCAGGCGATTCTTCACCGTAAGATCTTTTCTTCATTATGTGTTCAAAGTCTCTTTCTTTCTTCACAGGGTTGGTCTTCCGTTCTACGAGTATCTTAAAGAGCTCGAATCCGCCATTGATGTCGTCGAGAGAGCTTGCCGGCTCTGCATCGATGTGATTTCATTCTCATCCCGTGATTTTAAATCTCCGTTTGTTTGTTTTGCAGTCTGTTTACTTCCCGACAAAATTTTCAAGGAATCCTAATGCTTTAAGGTCTAATTAGCGAACCCATTCCTCCAAGGAGGGAACTTGTGATATAAAGGAAGGGAATTTATTTGCTTTCCTGATTCTGTTTAAATCTTTGACTGTCGGTACTTAACTTCAGAATTTCGTAGAGTAAAATTACTTCAATTCTTTTATATAAAGAAAAATTTACTTCAATTCTTGTTTGGAACTTGTTGGGCGAGGACCTTCACTTTGTATGACTAGATGTGTTCATTGATTTACGCTTTCCTTGCTTGTAGATTCAGGGTGAAGAACACAGATCGATATAGTTGAAATTTTAAATATATACTGAGGTTTAGATGTGAATTTCCTGCTGCTTGCCTTTGATTAAGAAGACTGCATTACACACATTGACTCTGTCTGATTTTGATTTGGCTGCTGCTTTTTTGAAAAAGGCTTAACCGGATGTTTCTGCTTGGTTATGTTGCTACTTGGGTGACTGTGTGCTAGAGGGTGAAATCAAAGTCAGTTTGGTTATTGATTGCTGTTGCAAAGATGCAGCTGATCACCATGAAATGGCTTGTGCTGATCTGATTGATGCTTCGAACCGAGCTTTCATCTAAGCTCTTAAGCTATTTCATTCACAACCACACCTAAACTTTGGATCTTTTTTGTGAATTATGCTTCAACCCCCAAACTTGAACCTTAGCTGTCATTTCTTTTTCCTAATTTTGATTGCAGAGCTTTCTAAATCACTACCCTCTATTCCCTTGGTTGGCCTAACCTTGTAGGTTCTGTGGCAAGTGGAAGTTATAGCCAGAGCAAGCCTTGGAGACAAGCAGTTGTCTGATGCTGATGTTCTAGAGGCGTCCCCGTTCTTAGTAGAGAAATCAACTGCCAGCTGTTACCTTAGAACAGCGAATTTTTTGTTCTTCGCTGTCAAAATTTTATATGCAGAAGCTCAATCACGGCTTAAAAGCATGTCACATTTTGAAGTTGCTAAACCTGATGTCGAAATTGAAATGAGATGGGGGTGGTATCAACATTTCTTGTCCCTCTTAATTCTTGAATGGGAACAAAATCGGGGACGGTCCCATATATCATTGTCCTGAAAACCGGCATATCATGTTAATTCTCTGTATAGTAACTTACCCTCTCATAACTGTCCCCTGCTGATTTTGTTGCTTTACCTATACTAAAGCCATTGTGGTTTTGCAGGTTTTGAATCCGATAGATATCATGGCACTAGGGGGGGATTCCTTAATGTACATGGTATGTCTTTAAATGTTGAAAAACGGTGGTTATCTTGTCAGAGTATCTTCTTGGAGCACCCGGGTTAATTCATGAATTTTATGGAGATAAGTAGAATGCAGTCATTTGATCTCAGAGCTGGAGAAAACCTTCTCGCGTAGTTCCCTTTGTCTTGAATTGTGAATTCGTCATGACCGTTGTATTGGATATATGGGAGGGAGATGTCAAAGTTCCTTTTCAAATGCATGTTAACGTTAAACCTATTTCTTGATCATATTAGAGAATATTGACATCATTAATCGGGATTGAGTTTAGCATTCAGTTCAGTTTTAGATATGTATAGGAATCCATGAGAAGTCCTCAGTTCTCTTCTTCATCTTAATTGCATGAACGGAATATTCAGGTAGGATCGGCACTTGTTGTAGATACTGAGATTGTGTTAGGGACCATAGGCTGTCCAAACTGGAAGGCGGATATCTCGGATGGATCCTAATGCTTCCGCGTATCGGCTGTGGAACTTTGGACAGAGAGATTAGATGATGTTTCTAGCAAAATTTCTGGCGGTGGGAGGAGGTGCGTTCTTGATGGCTTTGGCTTAGTGAAGGGCGGCGCGGTTTTGGTATTACCGAATCATTGTCATTCTCTAGTTTGTTTGATGCAAGATGTAGACGGCATACGGGATGGAGGGAAGAGACATATTCCTTTTGCCCACATGAATGCCATCTTCCAAGTAGAGATGGTACAGAGCCCAACAGACATTTTCGTGGTGAGAAGCTTTCTCTGTTTGGACGATGAAACCGAAATCTTCAGACAATTCTTGAAACAGTTTGTTTGCTGTTGTTTTCTGGGTTTTCTTTAACTGAAACATGTAATGTAACCGAGTGGGAAGGGAGTTGGAATCAAGAATTTACGAGATCGGGATTCTTGTGAGACCATGGTCTCTGTCTTGTGGAATGATCGAGATTTTGCAGCCCCCCATGCTTCTCGTTTTTCTTTGGATTTCGTTTGATAATTTAATAATAGCATATGTCGAATCACCCACAAAAATATACCATTTAATTTTATAACAAGATCAATCTACTTTGACCCAAAAAAAATAAACAAGATCAATCTATATATATTATATTGCATGCATGGAGTCTTACGTATAAGTGGTAAGTGGCGCACCAACCGCACAACTTTTTAGATCTCGTATCCTTTATATATATATATATATATATGGATCATACTTCACGACTTCATCTCAACTATTTAGGGTTCAAAGGTTTGTTGACAACGGGAAAAAAAAAAGAATAATGAATAACACGACAAACCACGTAATTATTATTTTTGGAAAATCGAAGCCTCTCTGGTAATTTAATGTTGTATTGTATCACAGTGCACTAAAATCCCAAAGCAAGTGCAACGTTATTGCTGTTTTTAACTTTGGTATATATATATATACACACTTTTTTTGGTAAAGTTGTATATATATACTTACTTTTGTCTTTATCTGATCTAGTTATCATATATGGTTGTTTTTATTTGTTAAACACTATTTTGCATTCTTTCCATAATTCTCAATAAACATCGATACGATATAACAAAACATATTGCGTTGAGTAAATTAAAAAAAAAACGTAGTTACAAGAACATGTTGTGTGTATATATATATATATATATATTCGTATAATAAATTTCGTTCTTCATGCATTATGAACTAATTTTATTTTTAACAAAAATAATGAAATTTGGTCAACAACAGTAACAACACGTATGCTACTTGTTCTGGCAAAGGCATGCGCAAGCAAGCCATAGATTTCGGACAGGTACATACTCTACATAATATATGATATTTTAACTAAATATAATATATGATTCGTTGACATAATCTCCCACTTTGTGACGTTTTCATTTGTCGTTAGACCACAGAGTGTCTTCCTGAGCGTAAACGCCGAGACATCATCCCTTGTATTTTGGTTCCATATATAGAAAAAGAATAGGATTATTAGGTTATAATTAATATAGCATAATGTTCGCAATAATGTGGAAACATTGCGAATGTTCTAGGTTTTCAAAGGGACTGAAAGATATACATACATATGTATACACGTATATAGATAGATAGATAGATAGATAGATATGCTACTAAGATTTGCTCCACAAATGTATTATAATTTATACGTATACTCTTGACTCTTTACATTATATTATATCTGTAAGAATAGTATTGTTACGTATAACGTATAAATGAAAGTGATATGACTATTCCTCTCAATGCTCTGATTAATTGATAATATTGTATCATTTTCCATCATTTTAAAAATTAAACCTCATTTTTTATGTTAACATGTATATATGCTTATATATATATATATATATATATAATATAACATGGATGCTTTCTTTTCTGTTGGAAGATTAATGATGGAATTTATAGTATGACACCTTCTATTAGAAAATGAAAAATATCGAACAATATAAACATTTCTAAACTTATTCATCACATGCATGATGACTTTGTATATTGAATATATATATATACATATGGATACGTATTAATTAGACATTTTGTCCGAAAACATTGAGTTTAATTACGTCGGGATATGAATTAAGCATGTTGTGATGTTACAGATCATATATTCTACTACTGGCGAGAAAAATATTGATCATCATTACCGTTTCCCGTTCGTGAAATCTAAGGAATCGTAATATTTAATATTATAAACAGTGTATAAAATAATATATATATATATATATATATATACCGCTTTGGAAAATTGTGGAGAAAGTCGAACACGAGGCAGAGAAGTAGTGGTTCGTACACTACAGGGGCAAATCCGCCCCACGTCACGCCATGTATCTTTTTATTATTCCTTTATTTAATATTCAAAATTACGAAATTACCCCCACCCAGCATATATATGAAGCCTTCATTTATTATGGCTCACGCCGAGCCTAGTCTTTAGTCGGCGGCTTTCAGTCTCAAGCTTAATCCAAATTTTCGCCTTATCCCCTCATATATATATATTGTAGGAACTAAACTTAGAAAAATGATAATAAACAGAACATTAATTTCTGATATTTGCTTTTATATTTTTGCTGAAAAAAATGTAAGAGAGAAGATGAAGTTTCTCCATGAAAACCTTACTTTATTTATTTGTTTTTCTGATATTTATAGAAATACAATAATCATAACTAAACCCTACGTACATGGAACACGTAGAAGAGTGGTTTAATAATCCAAAGACTAAGTCTCCTAAAAACCAGAAACCAAAAATCTAAACACAAGATTTATTCAAAGTGTATAACCAAAATATGATCGCAACTAACCAAACTATAATTAACTAAGAAAAACAAAACCCGACTCCGACAAGATTAAACCCAACAATCTCCTCCTTAATCTTGTCATAATGTCTTCATGTTTCCGATCTCCACCACCGCATATCTTCTGATTCAGTTTTTACTTAACTGATTTGTAGACCTCCTCCGCAAACATCGATACTTTTTTTTCTTTGCACGAACCTCCTTCATTCTCAAATCATCGAGATTCAACGTATTCAAGATATCCCACATTCTTTTGGAGATACCTTTTCACCGACGCGAAATACCATCACGTCATTCTGAGGGTCTTACAAACCCTTTCAATTCCACATCCAGAGGGTGACACTTCCCTCTCACAACCGTCCTTCTCTCATTGGTTGTCTTACTCTAAGCCTTTCCTTGGCTTTCACACGAAATCCTTTCATGGATCTCATCTCTTTTTCCGGAGCTTTCATTGCTCCAACTTCTTCTTCTTTTCGGAGTTTTTCTAACTCCATATCTTTTCCCGAAGCTTTTTCTGCTCCATCTTCTTCCTCATCATCATCATCATCTTCATCCTTCACCGCCTCTACAACCATATCGTCTATTGCTCCCTGAATCAAACCGTGCTCTGGTTTAATAATCCAAAGACTAAGTCTCCTAAAAACTAGAAACCAAAAATCTAAACACAAGACTTATTCAAAGTGTATAACCAAAATATGACCGCAACTAACCAAACTATAATTAACTAAGAAAAACAAAACCCGACTCCGACAAGATTAAACCCAACATATATATATATATATATATATTATCAATTTAAAAGAATTTGCATCTATTCTTCAATTTATTATTTTAAAAAAAAGAATATGTTTCAATTTCAAATATACAGAATACTAAAAAAAACAACTACTAAATGAAATTCGTATGATGGTTTTTCATAATTTAATAGCATATACACATATCACTTAATGTCCTATATTTTCTATATAGATCACAGAAATTCAATTTTTTGAATTACTATTAATTATTAATTACTTGAGAAGAGGAATATAGTTTTTCATTGGATACGGCTAGAGTATAGAGACAGACAGCAATGCTTGGATTCTACTAGCTAGGTTGGGTTCAAAGTCAAACCCTCAAGTTCATTTTATCACGTTCGTACACCCTAATATATTCAACCTCAATAATTATTGGTGGATAATGTTTCTATTTTTTCAAGCTCCACAGTCAATGTTTTCTAAATTTCGGCAAATATCCAAACTTTATTATTATTGCCCATCGAATTAAATTCTCACCCAAATCTACGATATTGCCAATGATAATGATATTGGAAATTTGGCTTCATCATGGACGTTGGAACACAGATTTTCCATTTCGGACCGTCTATAAAATAAAAATCAATCAAGGAAACAATTTGTCCTATAATTTTATTTTCATATTAATTTTGTCCTCCTACAAACTTACTTAGATGATTTAATCATTAATACGTCGTATATAAATTATTTCTATACCATTAAAATAACCTTTTTTATGATTTTCCTCATCGTTCTACTATTATTTTCAGTTATTTTGTCATTTTTCTTTTTATTTGCGTAGACGAAGATAACATGCATTATATATATATATATATTAATTGGATGAGACGGTTGAATACTATTTTTAAAAATTTTACAATTGAATTGTAATAGATTACAGACAAGATTTCAACCCCATTTTCACATTAGACGAAAAATAATCCGCGACTTTAGCTCAATAGGTAGGGAGGTCGAGCCGAAGGGAGCCGTGTAAAATAATTATACTAATTGGGTTAATATTTTCTTTTTCTAAACAGAAAAAAAAAGTCCAAAGAGTCAAAAAAAAAGAGGAGGGAGAGAGTTGAAATGTGAGGAAAAGATACGTGGCATCTTAATGTTGGCGACAGCTAATGTGAAAACCCCCTCAAAGCTAGGAGAACGACACTCCTCACCCCGGGGATAATGATTTTATATAAATATTATTTTTCAAAAATAAAACAAAACTGTTGTTTTTTTTTGGTAATCAACAAAAACTGTTGTTTATTACCATTAAACGATACCACAATTAATTATTATCAACACCTAATGCTAATGATAGTGTTAAGGTTAAATTACATTCGTTAATTATTACATTAATCAAATCTAATTCGATTAGTCTTCTTATACTGATTTAATTTCACATTTTTAGTAGTAAGCTTAACTATTTGTGTAAAGATCAGATTATATATATTGAGGACTGTAGCACATGTGTGGATCCAACAATTGTTGTTATTTTAATTTTTAAATGAAAAATATGCATATATATATATATATATATGAGGGTGATTACAAACAGGACATGTAAAAGCATATATACATACATATATATGTATGATACGGATGGGATACGAAGGACACGTAGCCAATCCAGAAACGGAGGACGGCACCGAATCCTTTTGACTTCGGCTTCTCATCTCTTCCTCCTCTATAAATAGCAAGTGTTTCTCTTTACGGACCATACGTCCTCTGGAAATTAAAACTCAATAATCTCTCTGATAATCACCTGATTGCGAACTCAGTTAATTAGCCGTAATCGTCAGTTATGGGAAGGTCGCCTTGTTGTGAGAAGAATGGGCTCAAGAAAGGGCCATGGACGCCTGAAGAAGACCAGAAGCTCGTCGACTATATTCAGAAACATGGCTATGGCAACTGGAGAACCCTCCCCAAGAATGCTGGTTTGTCTCCGTCATCCATCTAGCTTTATTCTTCTTTCTTTACTTGAAAATGTTTCTTATTTATTAATCATGTTTATAATTTAACCTTTGGTTTTGTTCCAATGTTTTCTTGATTGTTTTTTTCAGGTCTGCAGAGATGTGGGAAGAGTTGCCGGCTGCGGTGGACGAACTATCTCCGACCGGACATAAAGCGAGGCCGGTTCTCGTTCGAGGAAGAAGAAACCATCATTCAGCTACACAGCATATTGGGCAACAAGTAAGCAATATATATACATATAGTCTTTCGTATATTTTTCTCTCAAATACACGTTACGTACGTATATGTGCTGTATTCGAAATTTCTTTTACGTTTCAAGATCGCGACGTGTGTGTTTTAAATTTCTTTGGGTGATTTTTGACAGGTGGTCTGCTATTGCGGCTCGTTTACCAGGACGAACCGACAATGAAATCAAGAATTACTGGAACACACACATCAGGAAAAAGCTTCTTAGAATGGGGATCGATCCAGTGACGCACAGCCCACGTCTCGATCTCCTCGACATCTCCTCCATCCTCAGATCGTCCCTCTACGACTCTTCCCACCAGATGAACATGCCCAGGCTCATGGGAATTCAACCTCTGGTCAACCCCGAAATACTCAGACTCGCAACCTCCCTTTTCTCCTCCCAAACCCTAAACGATAACCCGAACAGAAGCTTCCACCACCAAAACGCTCAAGAAAGCCAAACTGTCCTAAACCAATTCCAAACGCTTCAAACCGACCAACTTCACGACAAGATTCAAGAACTCCAATCTTGCATTCCGTACTCCAGCGATGCTCAGCTCAGCATGGACCCTCCGAGCTTAACCGCCGCAGGGTTTGGTGAACAAAGCTCTCATGAATGGCACTGTAATGGGGTTCCTTCAAATATGCCGCAAGATTGCATGCCTCCATTGCCGCCGGACTACGATTACTACTCAAACTCGGTTTCCTTGTTAGACCCTTCATGCTATTCCGACCAAGACTTCAACTTTGCTTCGGTCTTAACGACGCCTTCGTCGAGCCCGACGCCATTAAACTCGAGTTCAACTTACATTAACAGTAGCAGTTACAGTACTGAAGATGAAAAGGAGAGCGATTGCAGTAATCTCGCGACGTTTGAAATCCCAGATTTTTGGGATATTAATGGTTTTATGTAATTTCAAGTAAACGAGTCCATGCGGGAGAGACTATTTTTTTTTATTTAAAAAAACTCATTTCTTTTTTTTTTTTAATTATTATTATATATCATTGTTCTTGGATTTGGTTATGTATATGTAAGATATCGTTCCTTTTTTTTTTTCTAATTTCATTATCGTCCTTTTTTTCCAGTGTCCATAAGATTAATTAATTAGTCTATGCGCGAAAGCAACATACCACCCATAAACAACATCTCATGACATTTTTAATTATTGATACCCACTCTCTTCTTTAATATTTCTTTTTGGTTCAGTTTTATTTTTTTTGTCTTTCGTTATATGCTTACTGCCGTATCATATTAATATTGGCTTGATGATATACATACACACACAAATGGTATGAGATTCTGAATTTTCCTGAAATTGACAGGAAAATAAATATTGTGTATTTATATATTTGATTTGTGTTTGTTTCCCTAAAGGAGTTAGCGAAAACGTATCGGCCGAAAACAATAGTCCAAAAGATTCATCACACACACACATATATGGTTTTATATATACGTTAATTATAGGAAGATATTATTCTTAGAATATTATCATTAATATTGTTATGATTTACCCTAAATATTATGCCTAGAATATTCTATTGTATTTTGCTATATATTATGATGTATTCTTCCCATTATCAATAATAGAAAAACATTTCACTATTATGGTATCAGAGCTCCGGTTTTTGCTCTAATTTTTTCTTCTTCTCATCAACAATATCGGTCGAATCCGAAAGCGACGATGAAGATGACAACGATGTACTAAATCCAATAGTATCATCGTCTTGAGTATCGTTTTAAATTTATTTTGCTCTTTTTTTTCTTCTATTTTTTTTCCCCGACGGCGGTGTTCATCACCGTCAACCCTAGCCGATTTTTTTTTTTAACGATGATGTTCGTTTATCGACGTCAACCCTAGCCGATGTGCTATTTTTTTTTAACGACGATGTTCGTTTATCGACGTCAACCCTAGCCGATGTGCTACTCTTTTTTTTTCTCTGACGACGTTCGTTTATCGATGTCAACCCTAGCCGTTGTGAGCTCTTTAAATATGATTTTTAGCCTCTTTCGATTGGAAAACTCCGATCGTCGATCCACGTATTTGCGTCACTTATCTTTATTCTCTTCTCTTGTCCCGCTGGTAGACTATCACGCATTATGCGTCACGCTTTTGTGCCCATTTTTTTTCTTCTTCTTTTCTCCGGCCTAGCCGCTATATACACCGCAGTTTTTTTGCGCTGCCGACTTCTTTATCGTGCAGCCCAATTCACTCATACGCGTCGCACTTTCGTGCCATATCAGCCTCTGAGAATACAACTCTCAAGCTCTTCAAACGTTATCAAGCAACACCAACTCAAGTTTGGACTACACCACCACATGGAAAATGATTCGTTTAATACGATCACAATTTCAGTTTTCAGTTTTTATGTAACAAGATTGAATTCATCATAGATGATTCATCTTGAGGGGGCATATAGGAAGATATTATTCTTAGAATATTATCATTAATATTGTTATGATTTACCATAGATATTATGTCTAGAATATTCTATTGTATTTTGCTATATATTATGATGTATTCTTCCCATTATCAATAATAGAAAAACATTTTCCCTATTATTAATATCTTGTATGATCAAAATCCGTGACAGATTGAAGTTTGCCATCAAGGCTAAAGTTTTTAAACTTCAAAAGCAAGTAATACTTCCATCAAATTTGTTATATATATATATATATATATATATATATATATATATATATTTTATCGCCAATCTTAGATGTTTTCTGCCCACGTAAAAGACGCAATTTCCGAAGAAAAAAAAAAGTTACCAATAAACATTGACCATCAATAAATACATATGATAAAAAATGGAAAATAAAGGGGATCATACTCTGTTGAGTGAAAAAGTCATTACAATTAAAATAAGAAAAAAAATTCTAATATCATATTAGTTATACGATGGACCTAGATTTTCCTACAAGTAATTATTAAAAAAATCTCGTAATGAGTTAGTGTCAAAATTAAGACCCGGCTTGGTTCAAGTAAAAACAAAAAACTAGTAATTTTGTTGTACGGAAACGTGACATTTAACTTCATGTAAAATAACTCTAACTCTGTAGACATGGGGACAAAACCCAATCAATTCATATTGACACGACAAACCTTGTATTAAAATTTAAAACGATCAACCGCACCGAAGATTGAGGCACGAAATTCGATTCTCTCGTATACGATTGATAATTATTGTCAAACTTAATATTTTAATTACGAAATCTAGAAATAAAATGAATGGTGTATGAGTCCAATCAAACTTTAACTTTAAATCAACCATAAAACAGTATAAAGTATAAACTGTTGGGAAAAAAAGCAAAATAGTATAACAGTTGTTAATTATATAATAATTAGAAACGGGTAAATATAAGTAAAAATGAGATTAAAACTCGGAAACTTACAAAGCACTTACTGTACAAAGGAAGATCATAAAGGAAGGAAATAATATTGTTATTATTTTTAGTATCAATCCCTGATTCTTTGCTGTATTTGTTTCTTCAATCATCTCCTCATGCGTGTATATATGTCTTGTAAATCACATAATGCAATACACAGAAAATTATTTTCCCAATCTGTCGTTCATGGTATCAGACGCCTTGGTTTAACGACAACCTCCTATCTCTTTTTTTTTTTTTTTCCAAAACCTTGATTTCCCAGAGAACCTAATCGGACATGTCCTCCGAACGGCACATCCTCCGCTGGCATTCACCCTGCTGCTCCGACTGCAACCGATCCCAATGTCGCTGCCCCCACTGATGCCGCTGCAACCGACACCGTTCGACCATACAATCCCGATAACACGGCGTCTTCGTTGATCAATATCAACGTGACGAACGTCTCCAAACTTTCCGCTGCCAACTACATCACTTGGAGCCTCCAAGTTCGACCACTCCTTCAAGGATACAACCTTGAATCATTCCTAGACGCCAACAGCACTGTCTCACCGACGGTCACCGTTGACAACGTGATCAACCCCAACCCGGCGTACACGTCTTGGTTTCGTCAAGACAAGCTGCTATTTTCAGCCCTTCTCGGCTCGATCTCTGTCTCCTGTCAAGCTCTCATTGCAAGGGCGACAACCACAAGTGAAGCATGGACAATACTAGCGTCCACATACGGCAGATCCAGTCGGGGACATATCAACGAACCCAAGGATCAAATGAAACGATTCTCCAAAGGCGGCAAATCAATCGATGAGTTCATGCACTTCTTCAAGACAAAGGGAGATGAGCTAGCTCTTCTCGGAAAGCCATTAGATCATGAAGATTTAATCGATCTTGTCATCGCCGGCCTCGGTGATCAATACCGTGCTGTCAAAGATGCCGTAAATGCCCGAGATCTGCCAATCTCGTTTGTGGAGCTTCACGAACGACTTCTCAATCACGAATCTGTGATTCTCGCTGCTGAACAGCTACCCTC